GACAGAGAGCACAGATGATGCAGAGTCTCACATGTTTAAATACCCAGACAGTAAATTGCATGCCAACTGCTTCAACCTTGAGGTGCTACCACTTCCTATCAGGTTCAAAAATTAAGAAAATAAGAAATTGAATAAAAAAAAAATGAAGCTAGAAAACAAATACATAGTTTTCAATAATATTCTTTAAAAGAACAGGAAGTCTATTGCTATGCCATTTAGATATAAGGATTGATAATTAAAAAACAGCATCACAATCCCACTGGACTATAAAGACAATCTACAAATCCACCCAGCAAATATCCTTCTCTTGTAAAAGAAGAAATGATATTAGAAGGGAGGAAACAGTTATAATGTAAAGGCTAATATGCTACCCTCCAGGAGGTGGAAAAACCCAAAAACAAAGTAGACTATTAGTACAAAATAACAACTGAATCCTTTTGTAATGCCGCTAAAGACTTCCCCCTGAAGAAACCTTGTGACTTTAACCCAAAGGGAAGCGGAAGAAGAAAAGGAATATTCCCCCAAATATTTATTTATTTTTACAGTCTTCAAACTTTGAAGCACCACCCAACTTACCAACAGAAGCTGACCACTCATTAAGGTCTAAGATTGTAAGTCTGCCTGGCAGGGACAACAAGTTTAGTAGAAATTATTTTTCAAATTTATCTAACTGATCACCCATTTGTTACATGTAACTAGTACAATTGAACAAGACTTATCCTGTCTCACAAAAAAAAAGGTTATTCAGAAGAAGAAAAAAATCATTAAAATAGTATGTTTTGTACCATATATGCAGCCAAAAATGCACTGCAGAGTTGATGGAAAACTATTTGCTGCAGTGATAGACCGACAGAAAACAGACATCAGTTTTGCTTTCAATGCATTATTCACGGGAGTAACTGTAGATTCTGGAGGAAGATTTTCAGCTGCAGAAGAACCTGCAAAATTTGTTACTTTGTTAACATGTCATTATAAGTTCATCAAGGAGACATGAGGAAACTTGAATCCATTAAGGAGAAATTGAAAGTTCAGAATAAGGAAGTCTCTGTTAATATTAGGATCAAATGTCAGATCTGCTTAATGAGCAGAGTCTTTTAGATAGATTTGATTACGAGTATGGTCTCTAAGAGTACCAAATTGAGAGAGTAAATTCGATATACAAACATTTTGAGGAGACTACGGTTAAGGAGAATATTAGTTGGATATAAAAATTTGTGGTTTAAGTGAGAGATGGCTTCAGATTTCTATTTTGGGAGGAGCAATTGATGGGGCGACCGTCCTTTAGCTACCCAATTTGTCCGACCGTTTAATGCCTTCTCATGCCATAATGCACCTATCACTCAGTTTTTATGCCAAATTGATGGAATTGTAACCTGAACTTTCCATTTTTCCCGTAACCTAAATGATAGAGAGACAGATGAGGTGCTCACTGAGATTGTTAGAAACTTAGCAAATTTCGCAACAACCGAATGGTAGGCTATGGACTTTAGAATCCCCAGGCACATAACTTGCAAATATTTCTTTGATCATATTACCCAATACACCAACTGTTATCATAAACCCTTTAACCGAGGCATACTTGCAACCTAAAGTTCCTTCTGAGGTGAAGGTGTTTACGGAGGCTGCAGTTCTAAATCACACAATATTAATTAGTTCTTGCAGATTCGTAGACTCTTACTCCTAAAAAAGACAGGTCCATTAAGGTGTCAGATTTTTGTCCTATTAGTCTCATGAGCAGTGTTTATAAAATTATTAACAATGTCCTGTCCTTGGGTTTCTGTGACACAGAAAAAATGAGAAGGTCTCGTTCTTGAGTTGGATTAGAAAAAGCAGAGAAGACTTTCTCATCCTTGGGTGAGGGTAGAAGACTTCAACATGGTTTTGGTTCAACCATGGGCAGTCAAACACCTGTTCTAGGGAATTCTTTTACTGGATAGCAGAGCCAAGTTGGATGATGTACCCATATTGTGTATTCAATGGACTCGACCTAACATAAGAGGGTGGGTGACATTCTCTAGTACCCAACAGATTTTTGGTCTCCTGCTTCCAGGAGATGTTCCCTAGTACAAATCAGAATCAATTGCCCAGGGTTATATTATGCTCCAAAACATTCAACACATACGAAAAACTCAGCTGAAAGTATCTCCAGTTAATGGACTACTTTATAAGGTGGTGGTCATAAGAGGAACGAAGAATAAGTATTTATAGGTTCCTTTTTATGGGGCTAAAGATCCTTTCATCCAAACATTAAAAGTAATTTATTTGAAATCCATCCTCTCCATAACTTAGATGATTTTCAGGGGTATTTTGACCGACTCTTTCAGAAACTTTTATTGTACATGGGCAACATCCACGGTGCCTTATGAGGAACATTCTTTTTTTTTGTCCTTTGAACTAACATTTAATTTGAAATTAAACAAGTTCATCATAAAAGAAATTAATAAAAATATTCTAACATGATAAATAAAAAGATTCACATACCATTGAAGAGTAAAAACAATCTGTTTAGCAACTTTGAACTATCTAAATTTGTAATAGAAGTCTTCTTCTTTACAAGCTCCTCCCCTCTCTTGGCAACAGGTTCTTGACTTCAATGAATCAAATGTCAAAAGCAAGATCAGAGTCCACATCTCAAATTGATGAATGATATACCAAACCAATATTATAATAATAACAGACTGATATTCAAATAGTACAAGGAAAATTATAGGTACCTAT